CTATTTGCCAGTGAGGAGAAAAGAAAGGGAAAGTGACCGCGAGATTGGGCTATTTTTAGCCGTTGAGGTGGTCAGTAATGCATATCGGTATATTTACTGATAATAATACTTACGGTATCTCCTATAAATAATTAATTTAAAATTTATTTTTTTACAAGGAATATTCAGTAAATGACTGCATTAATTCTTGAAACTACTGACAGTTAAATACAGACGCTTAAGTGACGTCACTAGTGTTTACACTACACCAGCTGGTAACATTTGATGCCATTACTTGAAGTGAATTGGCCTTATTTTAAGTAACTAACCATAAATAAATACAAAAAGTAAAAAAAAGATCAAAAGTGAGAAATAATATACTGTATGTATGTTGTGTTGTCAAAGTTAGAGGAACAATTCAAACTGCAATTGTGTGTAAATGAGGCAGAAAGTCAGGTCAGCGCTGAACCTGGGACTTGGTCACAATTTTCGTGATGCCATATGGCAGCAGGGTCTACCATTAGACAACACATTATGCTTCCAATATCTTACCAGGCGGTAGTATCTACCTGTTTGGTAGCTGCCTACTACCTACACAATTTTTAGTAATATTACTTTGATACATGATAAATTAGACAATGAAAATAAACATCAAATTTAATTACCAAGACGCTTCCTATTGGCAGCTGTAAGAAGAGGGGGAGATGGGCTATTTATAGCCCGTCTTTGTGTCTGAAGTGACCAGTACCCTAATTTACCTCAACATGTTTTCGCTTGCACTGACCGGGCAACCAGCTTTAGTATCAGTCCGCCAGTACATTAATCGGTTCTAGGGCTTAAATTCCTTACTATTTTTGTAAATATCAAGAAGTTTATACTATTCAATAATTTTAAAAGTTTAATATTCAATTTTTTAGTCATTTTAACAAGTATTGAACGAAATTGAAGGTAAAGTGACTAGTTTAATGCGCGGCATCCAGCCTCTTAACACAGCAAACAGGCGTCAGTCTCTCTCTGTTTTCACTGGAGGTAACATCTTGCTTGAGACTCTCTTCAACTAAATGCTTTTTTTCTGTTTCCAAGCAAATTATTGGTCATTTTGAAATATATTTTATATATTGACAATATATAATGCAGTGCAGCATTGATTTAAAGAAAATAATCTTGAATTAAACCAGAGAGCTAAAATTTTATGGGTGAAATGGCACCATGGGGTGACTTCTCTTCCACCCCAATGCCTTCTCTTCTTCCTTCTCCTCCACCCCCATTCTAAATCCCATCATCATCATCATCATCCAGGAGCCTTCTACATACACACCTCAAAGTAAGTGAACTTTTCTACCATTGTTGTTGAATTTAGGAAATTTTCGGTGAGCTGGAACCAATTACCCAAAAACCCATTGAAACAATGGTTTCAGTTAACGAACGACCTTCTGGAACGGATTGAGTTCGTTAACCGAGGGGCCACTGTATATATATATATATATATATATATATACAGTCGACCCTCGTTAATTCGGACTAATAGGAGGGGAAGGGTGTCCGTTTTAGCTGATTGTCCGAATTAACCGATTTAGGGGTTAATATTGCATTATATTTCAAATTCATTGTTTTCGTCACGATTTTATCCCACTTTCCACTGTAATACGTACGTCATTTCAGCAAAAATATTACATTTCTGTGAATGTATTATATCAAGCACAATATGAATAGAATGTCATTGTAATAACAGTACTTGTATTTTAACCGAAAACTATTAAAAAAACGAGTAACATCTCAAGAACATCGGAAGGTTAGGTAAAGTCTTTTGTTTTCGTCATGTATTTTATCCTATTTTACATTGAAATACATCACGTTTCAGCAAAACTACTATTTATTTCCGAGAATATATTCATTCAGGCGCAGTTTAGGTAAAATATTCGTGTGATGTAACAGTTTTTTAACTGAAAACGATTCGAAAAACACGTGTACCATCTAGCTGATACTCAACAGCTGGTGGTGCGTCATGCGTCGTTGTAAACAATAGGAGATTGAATTAGATTACCGGGTATTATATTAAGTGTGAAATATCGAAAAGGTTTTTATTACCGGTATTTTTTGTAGATCAATGAGAACTGTGATACCGTATATGATATGAAAAGTTAGCCTGTGCTAAGAACTTCAACATAGACTACTGAAAATGCGTTTTAAGGTAATTTAGCCTATTGTAAGTTGGTGAGCTTCATTTGCTGAAGGAACTGCACAACTTTTCATTACTAATTGGTACATATTTTACGTTTCCATTGTTTACTGGCAGTAAATGGCAAATATTTTTCATGTCTGAAGCTAAAAGTTGCATCCCCCCCCACACTAGTGGTGGAGATGTTATATTTAACCAAAAAGACGCTGGTGTTTTATCCCAGCAGTGGGTGGACCAGCATTTTAGCTTAAGGTCCGCATAGGTAATATTCCGACAAATCTAAAAAATAAAAAAATAAATAAAAAAAAAAATAAATAAAAAAAAAGTTCAGATTTTGTCCGAATTATCCGAAATCCGGATTAAAGGGGTCCGAATTAACGAGGGTCGACTGTATATACACACCCCCTGTATATACAGTCTCTCCTCAACTTATGACGGGGTTCCGTCCCGACGACCAGGTCGTAAGTCGAAAAGGCGAAAATAATACATAGAAATTCTAAAATGAAATACAGTACAGTAAAACTAATCAATACAGTATTACCCCGCCTAACGCGGTTTCACTTAACGCGTTTTATCATATACGCGGTGCCTCGCCAGAGCTGAACTTTCACTTAACACGGATTTTTTCCACATATACGAGGTGAGTGTCCGGCTCGAGACGCTATTTTTAGATTTGCCCCACCCTGCCTGACTGCCTGTTTTAGCTCATAAAATTCATACAAATTACCCGGCCAGAATATAATTTACATTGCTGGAATTCTTATAATTTGGTGATCATTTTGAATATAAACATCATATTTTTGCATTAGACATACAAATTTTAGATAAAAATTTTTCTCAAATTAACTATGTTATCTTTTGTGCAAAATATATGACATTTATCTTCAAAATATTCCTGGTCTTACAAGGAATCCAGCAATGTCAATTATATTATCCTAACTTTAGTTTGAGGTATTATTTATTAAAATTTAGTGGTTATCCCACACATCTCCTTGGGCCGGTTGGTGGGGGGTGGGGGGGAGGGAGGGACTGACCGACCATCTGTTACCCTGTGAAGAATTATTTTTTTTTTTATTAACTGAAGATATTTGTTTTAGCTCATAAAATTCATACAAATTATCCGGTCTGAATATAATTTACATTGCTGGAATTCTTATAATCTGATGATCATTTTGAATATAAACATCATATTTTTGCATTAGACATACAAATTTTAGATAAAATTTTTTCTCAAATTAACTATGTTATCTTTTGTGCAAAATATATGACATTTATATTCAAAATATTCCTGGTCTTACAAGGAATCCAGCAATATCAATTGTATTATCCTAACTTTAGTTTGAGGTATTATTTATTAAAATTTAGTGGTTTTCCCCCAAAAATTTCTCTGAGAGGGAAGAGCCAGGGAGTGTAGTGTGAGAGGGGGAGGGAGTTGAGTCCATTATTTGAATGGACATTAACTTGGCGACTGTATTTCTCTTAAGTATTAATTGTGTGCATGTACCATCATAAAATTAAGATGTTATTTTTACTACAACATAGGTATGTGCCTTCAAAAAGTGGAGTTTGGGGGTCAGGCCGGTTTCTATTGGAATTAATCCCATATGTTCTGTTGTTCACTTAACGCGGATTTCACTTAACGCGGGACCCTCTGGGTTCAATTGACCGCGTTAAGTGGGGTACAACTGTAATGAAAAATGAATAAATTGTTACTGTGCACTTACCTTTAATGTAGTCAGCTGAATGCACACAGGGCCTCAATAATTTTTTAATTAAGCATGGAGACTACATTAATTGGATGAAGCAGAGGAGAGACTGTATATACAGCTCCTCCCTGACTTACGACCTACTCGACTTACAACCACTCGGACACATGATCGCCTCAGTTGTACCAAAATTGTGTCAAATTATGTATTTTCGAGTCCCAACGTTAGTGATTGCACTGTGTACTGACAATTTTCGTTTGTAATTCTCTTTAAAAGGCTGGCAAGCTTAAAAGTAAGAGTTTTGTTGTCTGAGAAGAAAAAGAGACACCCATTTTAGATTTTCTAAGTATTATTTTCGACTTACGACCTGGATTTGGCTCCCTTATCCAGCCGTAAGTCGGGGAGGAGGTGTGTGCGTGCATGCGTGCTGATAACCATAACAAAACACAAAGTTCCCAAGCACTTTCGTGTAATTCACATCATCAGGGGTGAGTACAGTCTGTACTCACCCCTGAAGATGTGAACGATTGTGTACAAATGGAATTTTTTTTTTTTTTTTAAACATATATCTATCCACAATTATGAGTTGAAAAATAACATGAACACAACTTGACTTGGTAGGTTTATATAACTACAAGGACGGTCTGCAGGTAACTTGACGATATGCCAAGTCCACATATATGTTCACTTAACACTTGTACACACCCTTGCTCTTCATTTTTCTTATTTTATAGCAACATGCCATTTCCACGGACATTATTTTTCTAATTTGCTTTGCGAATAAGCGGGCAATGCTTTGCGAACATCGAATATGGAGGTTAAAATCTCAATTGCAAATAGCGAGGCATTCCTGTACTTATTAATTCATGATTGGCTTCTATTTGCACATTGCTGGTATGGCTCAAATTTTACTCGGCACAGGAGAACCCCTGTACCCAAACTGTTTACCCCTTGTGTATGAGGTTGCAAATATCGAAGTATTCCTGTAAGTAGTAATTCATTATTAGTTCCTGAATAAAATTATCTGGTGTTAGCTAATTAAAATATTAAAAGTGGCACCCAGTAGTGAAGGAGTTAATGTCTTTTTACTACAATTTCTTTGACATAATATAACAGCATTTGTCTTCATTTCGCAGGAGCAGCATTTGGAGCCCGCAACATGGCTGTGCAAGGAAAGCAGATCTGTGTTGGCTTATGGGACACAGCTGGCAGTGAGCGATATGAAGCAATGAGTCGTATATATTACAGGGATGCAAAGGCTGCTGTCATTTGTTATGATATAACAAATGCAGAAAGGTAAGTTATGGCATATTGGATACATTTTACATTATAATCACTTTCTCTCTTATATATATATATATATATATATATATATATATATATATATATATATATATATATATATATATATATATATATATATATATATATATATATATATATATATATATATATATATATACATACATACATACATACATACATACATACATACATACATATACATACATACAGTCGACCCTCGTTAAAACGGACTAATAGGGGGGGGGAAGGGTGTCCGTTTTAGCCGATTGTCCGAATTAACCAATTTAGGGGTTAATATTGCATTATACAGCTATGTGTATGTTTATTTGAGTGCCCCGTCATAGGAGTCCGTTTTCTCTCACTTCAGCACTCCTGAGTCGTCCGTTTTCTCTTAATCTTAGAGTGCACCAGAGACTGTTATGCCTTAGTAGTGACACAGAATTTGATATTGCAACTGGGGTTGCAATTGTTGAGGCAACTTAGGTATGTCTGATTACAGTTGGAATATTCAAGATCCATTGTGAGTGGTGTTTAAAGCTTCAACTGTCTTTATGGTTGGTAAAACTTGTCAAGTCTGTCAGTCTGAATGGCATGTGTGAGGCCTTGTGTTTGTACAACCGCTAAATATATAAATATATAATGTTATGATAATTCTCAGAAACACATAGGCATAACGAGGTTTATTACAAAGTGATGAAAAGGATACTGTAAAGTGGGTAGTCCACAAAACATGTAGCCATGTCTCTTTATTTGAGTGCCCCGTCATAGGAGTCCATTTTCTCTCACTTCAGGACGCCTGAGTAATCCGTTTTCTCTTAATCTTGGAGTGCACCAGGGACTTTGTTATTTCTTAGTAGTGACACAGAATTTGAAATTGCAACCCCAATTGCAACTGGGACAATCCCAGAACCAGAAATTTGATATGGACAGTTCAGATTTCGTCCGATATATCCGAAATCCGGATTAAAGGGGTCCGAATTAACGAGGGTCGACTGTATGTATATATATATATATATATATATATATATATATATATATATATATATATATATATATATATATATATATATATATATATATATATATATATATACTGTATTTATATGCGCCGGTTAACGTCCACCTGAACAACGTCCGATCGCATATACGTCCATGCCCCTCCCCCACCCAAAAAAATTCTGTGCTGGACCACCACTTCACGACCCCCTCATGGAGACACGATGATCCTCCCCATACTGGCCAGATATTATGTGTTAAAGGAATATGTGCTTCCTTCCTTAGGCTTTTTTTAAGAAGCATTTGCCTCCAGGTGTAATGTTAACCTACATCTATTGAGGATAAAATCTTTCACCTACAAATTGACAATAACACATTTTCTGTAATCAGACATATCTAGTTGCCCCAACAATTGCAACCCCAGTTGCAATTGGGGTTACAGTTTCAAATTCTGTGTCATTACTAAGAAATAACGAAGTCTCTGGTGCACTCTAAGATTAAGAGAGAAAACGGAGGACTCAGGCATCCTGAGCGAGAGGAAACGGACTTCTATGATGGGGGACACAAGCACTCACACGTGCCACTCGTACTGACAGACTTGACACTCACTTACTTGACAAGTTTTACTAACCATTAGTTGTGTACGTTATCTAGTGAATTTAGTCAATATTGTACAAGTACAAGTACACTGCAATACAGTGGTCCCTTGGTTAACAATGGACCTAAGTGCAAACCTGTACTGTACATGTACTAAAATTGTTATGTCTATTCCAAATACAGATTGTTTATACAGGTATTCAAATAAATCACTATCTTACAAGAATCCCTGCAATGTAAGTTATATTCACCCAGGTCGTTTGGGTGGCAAATTATGAGAAGAGCTTAGTCACTCTTAAGGAATGATAAATAAACACGCAGGCCTTCAGCGGCAACTGTCAAATCATATCTCAAATAAATAAACAAACACCAGACACTCTGTCATCTCACCTCCCACTTGCCCCCTGCTCCCCCCCTCTTCCCACGCTCGCTGGCTACCTCCCTCCTTGTGTTCCTAGACAAAAGATTGGTGATAACTTTATGCCTTAAGGTGTTTATTTTATATAATATCTCAGACTAAAGTTAGGATAATATAATTTGCATTGCTGAAATCCTTGCAAGACAGAGATTAATTCGAATATAAACGTCATATATTTTGCTCGAGATAAAAATTGTAGCACATTAGTTTACAATACTGTAGTACATTTTATAATATAAAGTTTTTCAACTGTATTTTTGGGTAGATTTACATAAATTTCTTCATTTATTTTCATCCATTTACATGCACACACCATACTAAAAGAAACGTAAAAGGAATACTGTAAATGACTTTAGTGCAAAGCTGGAGTTCACATGTACTAATTTGATTACGGTACTAAAATTGTTATGTCTAGTGCGAATTACAACATGTTTATATTCAAATAAATCAGTATCTTACAAGAATTCCAGCTATGTTAATTATATTCTCCTAAGTCATATCACTGGCATTTTAAAATGAGAGAAGCTTAGTAGGACTGTTAATTAAACACACAGAGACCTTCGCCTCAAACTTATCACCTCAACCCCCCCCCAACCCCTCGCTGGGTGGCGGAGCCGTCAGTCCCCCCCACCCCCCAGCCAGGCTTTTAGGCTTACAGTTTTTATCTTATATAATATCTCAGACTAAAGTTAGGAGATTATAATTTGCATTGCTGGAATCCTTGCAAGACAGCCAATAATTTGAATATAAACGTCATATATTTTGCTCAAGAGATAAAAATTGTTGTACATTAGTGTACAGTACTGTAGTACATTTTATAAAAAAGTTTTTCAACTGTATTTTTGGGTAGATTTACATAGATTTCTTCATTTATTTTCATCCATTTACATGCACACACCATACTAAAAGAAACGTAATAGAAATAAATGACCTTAGTGCAAAGCTGGAGTGCACATGTACTAATTTGATTACGGTACTAAAATTGTTTTGTCTAGTGCAAATTATAGCATGTTTATATTCAAATTAATCAGTATGTTACAAGAATCCCAGCTATGTTAATTATATTCACCCAGGTCATTTCACTGGCTTTTTATAAGAGAGAAGCTTAGTCACCTAAGAACTGATAAATATACACGCGTTAGACCTGGGCCTGTGCCAACTGTCAAACATACTACCTCCCCTCCCCCCACGCCCCCTCGCTCGCTCCCACCCTCTCTCTCCCCCATCTGCTCGGCGTTGCTGGAATCCTTGTAAAACAGTGAATAATTTTAATATAAACGTCATGTATTTTGCACAAGAGATAAAAATTAATCACCTGTATCACATTACAGTAGTGATTTAAGAGTAAAAGTGTATATGTACGTATATAGTATTCCACATACACGTAAGTATAAATACAAAGTTTCTGTGATGATCAGACAACGTCCATTTCGGTTAACGTCATGTTTCCAAGGACGTACCCAGGACGTTAACCGACGCATGACTGTGTATATATATATATATATATATATATATATATATATATATATATATATATATATATATATATATATATATATATATATATATATATATATATATATATATATATATATATATATACCTACACCCCGACTTACGACTACGTGGACTTACGACCGTCGGGACTTACGACCGCCTCAGATATAGATAAAAAATAAATAAATAAAATAAAAAATAAATTTTTTTTTTTAAATGACACGCATTTTCTATACCGAAACGTTTCCAGTTAATGTAGTCTCCATGTATAATTAGAAAATTATGGGGGCCCCATGTGCATTCAGCTGACTACATTAAAGGTTAAGTGCTCAGTCACACTGTATCCATTCCTTATTATTTATTACTTTCACTGTACTGTATCCATTCATCATTATTCATCACTTTTACTGTACTGTATTTCATTGTGGATTTTTTATTAAAATAAATATATATATATATATATATATATATATATATATATATATATATATATATATATATATATATATATATATATATATATATATATATATATATATATATATATATATATATATACCGGGTTGACTATCAAAAATCCGGCAACCTCGGGACCTGAGGAGTGCCGGATTTTCGAAAATGCCGGAACACTGATGGTTATATTTGCTGTATAAGTTTAACAGAAAATGACTACCTGTACAGTCCTTTAAACAAAGAAAATTAAACACTAAATGAAAAACAAATGAAATTTTATTATATATATACAGTAGTACCCCGATTTACGCGGTCAATTGAACCCACAGGGTACCGCGGAAAGTGAAAACCGCGTAAAGTGAACAACAGAACAATGGGATTAATTCCAATAGAGACTGGCCCGACCCCAAACTCCACTTTTTCCGACACAATACCTATGTTGTAGTAAAAATAACATCTAAATTTTATGATGGTATGCTCACACAATTAATATTTAAGAGAAATACAGTCGCCAGGTTAATGTCCATTCAAATAATGGACTCAAATCCCATCCCCCCTCCTCTTTCCAGCTCACTGGCCCCTACCTCTCTGAGAAATGATTGGGTGAAACACTAGATTTTAACGTTTAGTAATAAATAATACCTCAGACTAAAGTTAGGATAATATAATTGACATTTCTGGATTCCCTGCAGGTCAGGGAATATTTTGAATGTAAACTTCATATATTTTGCACAAAAGATAAAATACTTGCTTTGTGTAAACCAAATTATTACATTAGATCTAAAATTTGTATGTCTAATGCAAAATCCATGATGTTCATATTCAAAATGATCATCATATTGTAAGAATTCCAGCAATGTAAATTATATTCTGGTCGATTAATTTGTATGAATTTTATGAGCTAAAACAAATATCTTCAGTTAATAAAAAAAAAATGTTCTTCACGACACCATCTGTCAATCAAAGTACCCCAACTTGCCTCCCCCCCTCCTCACACTCACGCCAGCTGGGTCGGTCGGTCCCAACCCTC